TCCAGGGAAAATCCTGGCAAGTTATTTCCTCTGATGAAAGAAGCAAAACACAGAAGTGGAGTTTTTTTTTTTTTTCACATGGCACCACCAGCCTCAGTGTACAGAAGGACACTGACACGTTAAAGAGCCTGACTGCTCGTTGCTCAATCCAACACTGAGGTCGGAATTTGGAACCAGGATACACCACAGAGGCGGAAACATCCTCCAGGTTTTGACCATGTGGCTTGAAGTTTCCAAGATGTCTTATAGGATTGGAATCCTGGATAACAGTGGTAAAAAAAGAGTGAGGTAATTCTGGGGTACATTATACCCAAAACTGTCCCTAAAATACACATGTTAAATAGGTGAACACAATTTGATAAAATGGTGCCACGAATACAGAAAAATACTAGAGCTGTCAAAACAAATGTGTTGTTCATATCCATCAACGATAGCATTAGCTAAGACAGTCCTGGTACAGACCTAGCTAGCACAATAAAAAGTGTTAGTTCATATCCTGGTACAGACCTAGCTAGCACAATAAATACCAGAAGATGCGATTATAACCAAAAGGAAAAGTACATACTTTTTGTCCACTTGTATGTCTGTACATTGACTTAGTCTTCAACTAAATTTACTAGGATTTAAAAAACTTAATTTGAGTGATTAAAAAAGTACTATTTACTATTATTAATGCAGTTATTTTCTAAAATTAGCCTCTTATTAATGCAGTTATTTTCTAAAATTACACCCCACCATTAACAAGAATGCCCAGATTTCTACCAAAGATTTGCCTGTAAAGAATTACCAGAGATTATGGTTCACCTTATGGTTACGGTTACATCAGGGCAAAACTGTCCAAATGTTATTAGACTTAGTTTTATCTTTGGACAGACAGTGTTTTCCTATCACTGAAGCACAGCCAAAGACAACGGGAGGTGCTGCTAGAACTCCTCCACCTGATGCTTCGTCTCCTCCACTCCCTGCACCCCATCTCCAATCCCTCTTCGCAAAGTCCTGGAAAACATAAACATCCTTGCAGCCAGTGACATCATCAGGATCTGTGACGGCTGGTTGTACGAGGGAGAATGAGTTTCTTCAGTCGCCGTGGTGAGCAGGGTAAACACGGAGATCTGACGATGGAGGAATGGAACGGAGAGGGGGACCCCTTCGCTCCAACCACCAGCTGCCTCTCATCTCTCCCACTGGCCAGATGGCTGCCATACACTTCCACACGCTCCTCAACCCGCTCTTCATCTCCATATTATTTTTTTTTTATTTTTCCATTTCACTCCGACTCTCTGCTGCACTAATCACACACTGAAATCATGTGGTTTCTTATTTACTCTGCACAGTGTGAGGCGTGAAAGACACACATCACACACTGGTTACAGAGCAGCGTGAGTGCTCACGAGGGAGAAAAACATGTCAGGTGTGGTCAGGCAGGCATGCATAGAACTTTAGGCAGTGTGTACAGAGAGTGTGTAGTTGCTGCATGTTTTTATTGCAGGCATCTGTGTGTTCTAAGCAGAGAATATCAAACTGTACTTGTTTGGTTTTCTTTCATCAGGGCTGATCTGTGTGGTTCTCTCTCTGTGTGATTCAGCGTGTTCAGGGAGGGTCACTGTGTGTTTAAGGAGGGCGGGGGGGTAAGTGAGGGGGTGCAGAATCCTCCTGTTTAAGGTTCACTCAAGTAAGGAAGTAAATGGGCGTGCAAGGACGGGTTTTGGCTCCAAACCATCATTGTGAGGACATTTTTGGAATTTTTGTTCATTGTTGAAATTAGGTTGAGATTTTGATGAGGTTCAACCATGGATTAGAACAGGGATTAGTTTAGTTTTGATGGTGCGGATCGAAGCACAAAACTACAAAAATGTTTTGTTTCTTTCTGTTTTTACAATAAAATAACTAACTATCTGCAATAATATCAGAACAATGAAAGTCTGCTTTAAAAATGACTACACTGAGAAGAACTATTATGGTTTGTGGATGTAGTTTAAGGAAAAAAGTCAAAAAGATTGAATTTTGATACGTTTCCCTTTTTTGAACCCACAAAAACACAACCAATCTGGCCTAGCACATCACACGGACCGTTTCCTTATATGGAGACTGCACTGGCCTCATATCGTCAGTCTCTTCAGTCAGTCACGTCACTGCATTCTCTTAAATGATCTTGAACTTTCACAGCTGCAGCTGTACTGTAGGTTACAGCAGGTGGCTGGTGAAGTCTTAACACCAGGAAAGACGTGCGCTGTCCTTTTATCTACAGGAAATCTACTCTCCTTATTTTTAAGTACTGTAAAGTCTGGGATCTGCTTTTGATTTACTTGCAAGTGCAAGATACAGTTTTTCTCACATGTGGCTTTGCAGTGATCACATTAGTCTCACAAAAACATTCAGATTGAGGAGCTCAGAGCTAAATAAATCCACGACCCTTAAGACGTTGCATTGCGTTACCAAATACGGCGCCATTTTTAATGTTCCTTTAGCTTTATTTGCTTGAAGTCAGTTTAGTTGAAATCCTTTGCTAATTGCCCACAGTAGAAGTACAATTGGAGTAATTGTGTTCGGTATAGCAAAGAAAAAACAAATTACAGCCATCAGTCAGAACCACTTTTATGACTATGTCGACTTCCCGAGGCATGTCCGTC